GAGCTCGCTGAGGTAGTTCACATTCGCGCCCACGTGACCGCGCGGAGTCCCCATAGAAACCCTGGTCGAGCATTGCCTCGAAGTGATCCCGAATCACTGCCGGCACGGGCTTCCGGGGGAACTGGAACCGCCGAGCTCGCCGAGGTAGTGCAGGTTCGTGCCCATGTTCCCGGGCGAAGGCCTGCAGAAACGAAGAGGTGTCCGGCGCAGGCCTGGCCTTCTTTGCTCGTGGGGCCTCGACTGCCACATCGCCGCTGCAACCTGATTCGAGCCCTGGCCCGCCATCGTGCATCGCCTGCGGACCATCACCACCCCTGACTGGTCGTGCTGCATCAGCGGTTTGCGACCCCCGAGCCTCGTCTTCACCCTGGCTCCGTGACGTCCCATCAGGTCTTGTTCTAGCCTTGCAGGCCGCCCACACAGCTTTGTTACGAGCATCTCGATCTCGAACCCTTTGCCGAAACGCGAGGAGTGCTTGATGCCTGCGATCCGCACAGACCAGCAGCCGCTGCCAGATGCCCTCAACCCACGAGTCCTGGTCCTCATCGACGTCCTCATCCGTAGCTCGCGAGGTGTGGCAGGCATGACGACGTAGCGGCTCAATGATGACATCCTCCACATCACTGCGAGAGCCAGTAGTGGACCTGTCAGGCCGTGTGCGCATGTAGTGGAGGAGGCGCACTGCCATCCTGCAGGCAGACAGCACCTCGCCGTTCTGCACCGTGTTCCGCAGCACAATGTTGATGTCCTCCGCGATTCCCTCCGCCTCTGCTTTCCACCCGGGGTCAGGGTAGTCATCAAACTCGTGCACCGAGACCGTCACATTCTGCACCAGGCTCAGCCCATCGTCATCACGAGGAGGGCCACGAGCAATCTCCAACCTCGAACCACCATGCACCGGAGTGCTGCGTCCACACCTTGGTGTCACATTGATATGAAAGGGCGCAAAGGGCGCCATCGGATATGTAGCGTGGGCTGCAGTCACCACCTGCAGAACCCACATGAAGAAATATGGAGGCCGAGCCATGTCCCGTTCGGGAGGCAGCAAGGCAAGAGAGCGACAGCTACAATGCAAAAGCAGAGCCGCGGCTGCGCAAATCAGGGCGCACCTTCACAAGGCAGCAGGGCTTCGAATTGCAACACTAACGCTACCCTAGGGCTCCTAGCTCTCAGTAGGTGATGGCAGTTGTTGCTGTCTCCCACTGGCCCAAGCCAGGTCCATACTCTCCATCCATGCATATTCTCTCGATTTCCACTGTGCTCTGTTGTGCGCTAGAACCCTCCACGGCCCACCTGCAACCGCATCCATTGACCTCTCCATATTAGCCAACCTGGGGTAATGCCTCGGGTGGGAAAGACCTTTCTTGGTTGCTTGCTGGCGCGCCCACCACTCTTGCGTGCGATATGCGTCGACATGCGTGCTGACAGGGGGGGCCATGTGCAAGGAACACCGGGTACGGTGACCCGAATACCGCCACCACCTCTGCAACCACAGGGTGCTCCAGCGGGGCGTGCCGGCCGCGTGCAGGGCGGCCCGTGCATCACGATATGACCTCTTCCGGTACTCCTCCCAGGACTCGGTCTCACGTTTGGCCACTCGCATGGCAGCCACAACCAGCCCCAATTGTGCAGAGTTGAGTAACCCCATCGCCGCCCGGTCTGGCGGAAAAGCGGATACGCACTACAAGGCGCTGTTCCCCACAATCTTAGCCATGGTCTGCAACCTCCCTTTGATCCCTGTCTTTGCCCGGAAGATGTGTTTAAGCCCCCAAAACTTGGCCCGGGCCCGTGCAATGAGGGGGGCCACCAACTCGCAGATAGACAGACCGACCTTCATCGGGAGTCCCATGACCTCCACCGTCTCCGACGCCTTCACAACTTCCCCGGCGATGGTGATCTCCCTTGTGCCAGCCCAGTGTGGGGAGCATAGCAGCTGGCATTTCGTCCCATTGAGCCTGAGGCCATACTCCGCCAGGACAACTTGCAGTTGCCGCACCCTGCGCTCTAGGACCGGCGTCCCCTTTTTGCAGAGGAGGCCATCGTCCATAAACAGAGCGTCCTGCTGCGCCAGGCCGGGAAAAACCTGGCGGTCCTTTTCCCAGGAATACCTCTCATCCGCCTCCTCAAGGCAGATCTCCGCCACCATCTCGAAAATCGAGGGAGATTCAACAGCTCCTTGTTTTATCCCTTGGGACATCGGAATCCGGCTGCAGCCCCAGGGGGACTGGAGAACAGCCGTGTTGCACTGTAGAAGGGCCCTCCAACAACGAAGCTCCGCGCCATCCCCTAGTCGCTGACCAAGTTTGCGGAGCAGGCTTTCCCGGTGAAGCGAGTCGAACGCCTTGGCAACGTCCAACTTGACCATACACAGCCCTGCCCTCCACTCCCTTTCCAGCTCCAGGGCACGCCAGACCGTGAAGAGGTAATCAGCAGCCGCTGCCGTCCCGGGCCCGCACACTGGGCGTGCGTCCTCAGCGCGATGGCTTGGAGCGTGCGATTCAGGAGTAGCCGCGAGAAAAGCTTGGACACGGAGCTGCCCATGGAGATCGGCCGGAGTTGTTTGACATCCTTCGGGTGGAGCACCTTAGGAAGGAGGACCATGAGCGGAGTATTCCAGTCCTCCGGAATCTGCTGGTGCACCAAGATGCGGGTGAAGAACTCAGCGAGGTGCTCCCTTCCACCCTCAGCCCTGGCAACCCCCTGAAGCAACTCCTTGGACGTGGCATCCACTCCAACTGCCTTTCCACCCTGCATTTGCCCTAGTGCAACATCAAGCTCCTCGACCGTAAAGGCTTGAGTCGGCCCCGTGAAAACCCCCGAGTTCGGAGCAACCCCCGGTCCCCGATAGACCTCCGCAAGGTGCTTGTGAACGCGGTTGTGCGGGTCATTCTCGCTAGCATCGGCAAAGTCCTGTTGCCAGCCGTACCCTGACTGTGGCCTCAAGCTTCGAATCGCCTTCCAGTCCCCGTGCGAGGCACGCTTGATCCGGTCCGCCTCCCAGGCTTGGCGGGCAATTTTGCGAAGCCGTCGCACCTCAGTCCAAGTTTTGCGGGTTTTGGCAAACCTCGCCAGCTGAACTGCCCTCTTGACCCCCGGCGGATCGCGATAGCCAAGCCCTTGTTTCGGCCTAGTGTAGGTACGCGCCCAGCGCACGAGGGTATCCTGGTCTACATGGTGGACCACCGGAAGTGACCCTGTCCAAGTTCGAGCCCGAGTGTCATATCTCTCCATCTTTCTGGTCGCCCTCACCTCGTAGGTGCCCTCAAGCAGCTCGTGGTCTGTACCCAAGACATGACATGAGTCCACATGCACCCGAAGGCCACAGCACACAATGCGGCAACTGCCCATATAGTCAATGATGTTGCCCTCCCGTCCGTCCTGCCTAGGCCGGCTAGTCGGAACTCGATATTGCTCTGGAGGCGGAGAATCGAGCCGCAGCCCCCGCCTGTCCAGCTGCCCCAGCAACTCATTTGCCTTCCCATCCTTGCCAACCGCCACAACTTCACCTTCGAACTCCGCCCACTCAATGGGCGCATTTGCATCACACTGGAAGATGACGGGGTGTGGGCTGGGGGGCAATCCCTTCATACAAGCATCCACCTGCTCCTCGTACTGTGCCTGCGTGCAACCAGGTGAGAAGTGCGCCGACCCTATCCACACCGTCACAGCCGAAATGAGGTGCCGGAGACGAAGCCAGATTCCCTTCCCCGCGCTGACCCTTTGCAGCACAGTCCACTCTTCATCCTGAAAAGCAACCCCCTGCCCTCTCCACTCACCCGTCGGTTGGCAGGTGATCAGCGTCCACAGCCCTTGCTTTTCTGTCCGCCATCCAGGTTCGCCCCGGGGCATCTCTTGAATGGCGATCAGCGAGCACGCCTTCGGAGTGCCACCACAACCATTGCGCACAGCATCTGCGAGCGAAGGCATATCAGCCCCGCCCACATTCCATCCATAGACCTGAAAAGAAAACGAATTCGACGTTGGAGGTACCAACGGAAGCGGCTGAGTCGTCGGAGACAAGGAAGCATGCCCAGGACCGTCCTCACGACCTGCCTGAGCCTGCACACGCGCCCCCTTCCTCCGAGCCCGCCTTGAGTAGCTCACTGTAGGATCCGGTCAGCGCCTCGCGGCCTCAAGAGCCTCTCCGACATCCCTCGGAGACACTCCGCACACCTGCGCAATGAGCCCCACGTTCACCCACGGCTTAAGGATGTTGTCCTCTTCCACATGCACCCTGGCAATGTCCGTTTTCGGAGGGAACGGCAGACGAGCGCTTGCAACCATTCCTTGGTCCATCCAGACCGTGCCTGTCTTGTACTCGAACTCTAGGTCAGCCGCGTGGCCCCCAGGGAGAGCTTGCACGGTGCGTTTCACCCACGATGCATGTCCAGCCACAGCACGTTCTTCAGGACTCTTACTGAAAGAGCACCACAGACGTGTCCCTGCAGAGCATGTAATCTCTGTTTCCTGGAACCGCGTAACGAAAGAGAACATACGTTGCCGACGAGCCTGGTCGTCCTCCTCCTGGCGAAGCGGCATATTCAGCAAGACGACGCTCCGCCTCGGTCCTGTGCAAAAAGGCTTGTCGTCCATAGCCCCCAGGAGATCGACCTTCTTGAGGGCCTCCGCCAGCTCAGTCAGGATGGTGACCCGCTTGGACTCCCGCGGCCAACCCCCGAACACTAATGTGCCCTTGCGCCGCTCATCCACAGCCTTGGGAACCCTGCCCACCGCCGAAGTGCCTCCGCCCTGCTTCACCAGGGCCGTAAGATCTGCCAGCGCCTTCTCCAGCACCTGAACCCTTTCCTCCGCAGCGTCAGCGCGACCAGCAAGCTTGTCCACCCCTGCCTGCACCCCTTCAATCCGCTTGACAGTGCGCAGCTCCAAGTCCTTCAAGCCCTCGTCAAGTTGCTGCTTCTGTTGCTGAAGAAACGTCGCCGTCTGCTTAGCCAAGAGCTCCTCCAGCTGGACCAGACTAACCCCTTCACCTGCGGCTGCCGCCTTGTCCTGCCTCTTCGTGGGCCGTCCCACGCCCCCCTCGGGCCCACGCTTCAGCCCAGTGGGGGAAAGATCATCGTCAGTGCCCTCGGGAACAGAGGGGACCCCCAGCTGGACCTTGTTCGCCCCGCTCCCTGTTGGCATCATACCCCTCTCGGCGCGGAGAATCGGGTAATGCACAAGCAACACGGAGACGTCAGACCGCCGACCTCAGCCTAGTTGAACAGCAGCACCGCGGCGAGCTCGACGCAGGGCCCGACACACCGCAGAGAGGCGGGCGGGCGGGGGAGAGCACCTGAGCCTTGTCCTTGAGCCATTTGAGGGTTTAGGGTTTAGGTTCTAGGCTTTAGGCTTTAGGCTTTAGGCTTTAGGCTTTAGGGTTTAGGGTTTAGGGTTTAGGGTTTAGGGCTCTAGGGGTTTAGGGTTTAGGGTTCATTTAGGGTTTAGGGGGTTTGGGGTTCAAGAGGTTGGGCTTTTCAAGTTCTGGGTTTTGGTTTGGGTTGAACCCTAAACCCTAAACCCCTAAACCCTAAACCCTAAACCCCTAAACCCTACTCTGCCTCAAACACGGCCTCGGCATTGCTCCTCCGTGTTTACCTTTGAACCCAACGGTTTCCATGCCATGGGTTTAGGGTTCAGGGTTCAGGGTTTAGGGTTTAGGGTTTAGGGTTTAGGGTTCATGGTTCAGGGTTTAGGGTTCAGGGTTGGCCCTAAACCCTAAACCCTAAATCAGGCTTTGGGCTAAGGCTTCGAAGACTCCAACCGTGCAGTGCCGCTCTGAAAACCGCATGGGTAATAAATAGGCTTTAGGGTTTAAGGTTTAGGGCTTAGGGTTTCGGGTTTAGGGTTTAGAGTTTAGGGCTTAGGGCCGCTACACCAACTGGTGAAGCTCTTGGATGCTAGGGCTTACTGTCTGTTTAGAGTACATGTCAAAAAGAATCCGTGGGGATCTCTGGGGAATGCGGTTGATGATATAAACCCAGCGTTACCCGCCATAATAAGGGATATACCATAATTCCCATAGCTTCGGGTCCTTAAGGTAATAGAGGATTTATATCATCAACAGTAGTATTAGCAGCTAGTCAGGCTTTGAGCTTTAAGGCTTCATTGTGGTCTGGGGATTTATGGGTTTGGGATTCGGGGCTTCTGCTTCTCAGTGGTCTTTGAAGGCGCCTTGCGGTATTTTCTGAAACAGCAGCCGTAATGGGATAGTGGAGGACTTAATGAATACAATTATAAGAACGTCAATCGGGGGTTAGAAGTGCCCACGAGTATAGTTACCTTATTGACAACCCTAGTCACTAAGTCCCATGAATCTCCAAGTAGTACTGCCTTGAGGGTCCAAGCCGTGTACAGAGCAGGAAGCGGTAAAACCCTAAACCCTAAACCCTAAATCGTGAATTGAAAGTAAGATAGCTGGGTGCAGCGACACTGTGCAGCTGAGAGCCCAGGCTCGCTACTACCAGTGATACAACACGCCATAGGGGTAATCTAAGGCTAAGGGCCTCATTAACCACAACAAGGTTTTGGGGCATCTTATACTACAAACATAATAAGGAACCCTAAGAAATAATGTTGGTAGTTCTTTAAGCTTCCATATAACTCAAAGCCTCCCACCTACAGTCCTATGTACCATCAAAGGACAAAACCCGAAACCCTAAACCCTAAACCCCTAAATCCGAAACCCTACAAGCTGCTCACGAGCTCGCGTGCAATCAAGTGACGAGATTGCGACAAGGTGTTTTGACAAACTTGGCCCGGTAGATGATAGTGCCTTGCCGCAGGGCACTGGCGCAACCAACATGCTGGTTACTTGGAGACGGAACTTTAGGGTTTAGGGTTTAGGGTTTCTTGTAATATTATTGATTACATACACCTTCAACGCAAAACCCGAACCCCCAGTCCTAAATTAAAAGCCTAAACCCCCGAACCTTAAATACGGACCCTAAAAGCTGAACCCTTCGAGAACATCTAGAGGAGCCGTCAGGAACCCTTGGAAGGACCCCTTGCACCCTCCACACCGGATCCGTAACCATAGGGTTTAGGGTTTAGGGGCTTAGGGTTTAGGGTTACGGTTTAGAGTCTAGGTGATTTGGGGCTCCCTAGCCCTAACCCTAAGCCCTAAACCCTAAACCCCAAAGCCCTAAACCCTAAACCCTCAACGGTTTAGCGTTGGGGGTTTAGCCTTCAGGATCTAGGGACCCCTATACCCCTATACTACCCATCCAGGAACCCTGTTGCAAAACCTTCTACGGTTTAGGGTTTAGGGTTTAGGGACCGGAACCCGTAAAGGAAGTCTCTGTGATAGTGCGGCTTATACTACCCTCGCCTTGCTGGTGTTGGCTTTGGTGTCCTTATGAGTCTCACTAAACCCTAAAAAGGCTTTGGGTTTAGTGTTTAGGGTTTAGGGTTTAGGGGTTTAGGGGTGTAGGGTTTAGGGATGAGGGTTTAGGGGTTTAGGGTTTAGGGTTTAGGGTTTAGGGTTTAGGGTTTAGGGTTTAGGGTTTAGGGT